GGGGTGGATGGGGTGTGCATGCATGGGCGTGCAGCGTGCATGTTTTAGTGGGTGTGGCACATGCATGGATGGGCGGGGCATGGGTGGAGCACCAGTGCATGTGGGAGATCTGTCTCCACGGCCCGGTCCATTGACAGAAGTAATGCTGTCAGTAGAATATGATTGGATTTGGCTCTAGTATATACAGTAATCAGAAAATATTTATGTATCACCAACATCTATATGTAGGAGTAAGGCAGTTTACTCCTCTATAGTAATAGAATATGATTTGTAGATTTTCTCCAAACAGATAAATATGATTGTATATTCATTTTTAACAGTATGACAAACATTGGGTTGCAAGAATGTCAATTATTATTTTCACTTACTTCCCCCCCTCTCTTTCCAATACCTTAGGTTAATGTCTGATTTACCTAAATTTGACAATGAAGACCTCAAATCCTATGGTGATGAAGAAGAGGAAGTGCTATTGTATGTTTTTTTTTATCATCAATGTTGTTGTCTATCTTCGCAGAACTTTCAAAACTGCTTGCTAAACTTTCTATTATTACCCATTATTGCACTATATTACACTATGTCTGTATCAGAAGGGATACAGATAGGAACCTTGCAGAAAAGTGCACAGTCATTTTATTCCTCTTCAGAGTTGAAACAGATGTGTTTTCAAAGACAGAAGTGCATCTCTGGTCCTCAGTTTGGCGGTCCTTAAGAGGCATCATGCTGATAGAAGCTCCTCTTCCAAGGGGTTGGTCAGTTTGTGCTGGTTCCTTTCTGGTGGCTTTCCTCTTCTTAAGCAGTTAAACAGCATTTGGTCTGGGTATTATACACTGTTTCAGTTCCTGACTCACCCTGAGGGGCCCCAACTGCCATCTGCATATTTGTTAATTATGGTGTAGTATGTGGCTCTCTCTGCTCCCTGTTCTGGGTACAATAAAATAGGACAAGTTTAATATCCAGGTTATTAGCATTTGAGGTGTTGTTTGTCCTTTGGTGACATTGTGTCCTAGATGCTTGGAAACTTTCCTTTTCTCTGTGGGAAAAATTAGCCATCTATTGAATTTTCTGATGTAAGGTAAACTGCATTGAGTGGGTTGACATGTTCAATATAATGGAAATAGGTCTGCTTTCTTCTTCTGCTTCCTGTCTTCATTTTAGGTCCCCACCAGCAGCTCTTATGACTGTTCTTGCTACCCAAGAAAACTTGCTAATAAACATCCTGGAGTGCGTTCCAGTTGGGGAGTTTGCAGTTGTTCAACCACTGAGTGAGGAGTTTTGCCTTATTTTAGGGTATCTTCTCACTTGGAAATTAATACTAACTTTCTTCAAAGCAGCACCATCTCAGGTAAACTCTTCTCACCTCTCCACATCCTTTTAGGGACAAAACAGTTCAGCTTCAGTACTGTTCTGTGCATAGCTGTTTGTGATAATCCTGTTGTAGAGCTGTTATGAAACCAAGAATGCCTTGTTTTGAAAACCATTAGTTAGAATAGCAAGAATGTTACAGCTTTCTTTGTCCTGAACTTGGAGCTTCAAACTGTCTGTTTTACCGCATTCCTGTTAGATGCATGTGTTTTAAATATTCTTATCTAATCTGTTGTAAATCCCACTGAATGTTTTCTCCCTCTTATTATGTACATTCCTTCAGTTCTTCACCTTCTGAAAACAGGTTTTATTGGGAATAATTTTAACATGTATGGAAAAAAAGTACTTCTAAATATAAGGAGAATAGGTACAACCCTTTCTATACCTGTTTGAATAAATAGTATTGTTCTGGACAATCTGCATTCATACAACTCATATTTTCTTGAAAGGAAAGATTTGGATACTCACACACTGTTTTCTTTCCCATGCCTGGCAGCAGGAAAGCAACTGTTCATAAATGAAACTCTCTTATCTTCTGCCTCATAGCTAATGTACTATGATTACCTTGAAGATAACATTGGCTTCTCAAATTGATAGAGAAATATGAATTATGAATTCAGTATTTGTGTTCGCGAAGGCTTTCACGGCCGGGATCTAATGGTTGTTGTGGGTTTTTCAGGCTCTTTGGCCGTGTTCTGAAGGCTGTTCTTCCTAACGCTTCGCCAGGCTCTGTGGCCGGCATCTTCAGCTACATCAGCACAAAGTGCTGTCCTCTGAAGATGCGCATGTCTTTTCTGCCTCCTCGCTCACTAAACCACAAACACAATTTGTAGTTCAATTCATGCCCCATTTTATGTCTTTGGAAAGGCTGGTGGAATTAAAAAAACAAGCCATGCAAAGGTCAAGGGGAAATAAAAGGAAATGATATTTTTCTGCCTCAGTCATACCTGCATACATTTAAAACAACATATTCTGAAGTTCTTGACACTATAGGACATTTAGGATACCAATATCTAGAACATCCACCTAATGTTTCCAGTTATGAGGATCAACACTTTCCATTTTCAAATACATTTTTTAACCATTTACCAGAATAAGAGAGCTACTGACTGTCCTTGTGTATTTTATTTTCTGTCCAAGTCAGGAAGATTGCTCTGAAAAATGCACATATAATTCACCATATTCCATAGAACTGATTTTTAAAAAATCTGAAATCTTTTATACAAAATGTTTTTTGCTCATGATCCTTTCTCTGTTTGTTTGTTTGTTTGTTTGCCTTCCTTCACATTAATCTCTGGATATGTGAGTTTTGGTGGGCCTTACATTGCATGGCATACAAAGCTGTCACTTTGCCAAGAGGTTATTTCATCTTGACTTTGCTAAATTATTTATAGAAACATGTGCTTGAGATTTTGATCTTCCTTCTTAAATAGTTAATGAGGTAACATT